TCTCTCTCTCTCGTGTGTGTGTGTGTGTGTGTGTGTGTGTGTGTGTGTGTGTGTGTGTGTAATCCAGGCACTTTCCAGGCCTGAGCCAGTGGAGGACAGAGATAATCCCCTCTAGACTGAGGTCTGGGCAGGTCACAATCAACCACGAGCTTCTGGTGCTGGACGGTCAGGCACCATCATACCAATGCCATCTGTGGTTTCTAGGCCACGGCACACAAGAGAAGAAAAGCAACAGCCTTGTGCCATGACGTGTGGCTGGGGTGGAAGGACTCAACCAAGTGCCACCAGTGACTCAACCAGGAGCCCTGGTGCTGGGCGGTCTGTGGTGATTTGGTATGGGGTGGGGAAATAGAAGGAAGAGAGAGGCAGAGCAGTTCATGGACTGGAAAGAGAGGCAGAGCTGAAGGGGTGAGAGCAGTAAGCAGGATGATGTGAATGGCCTGGTAGCCACTCAAGTCCAAGTGATGACCAATCCTGGGCTGTTTGGGGGGAGGACAGGGGAGGGGAGGGCAGGTCTTGGTCCTGGTCTGAGGCCCTGAGGCAGCTAGGGGGATCTGTGTTGATGTCTGTGGCTCCTGTTGCCACTAAAGGCCATGTAGAGAGGCCTGTGGTCTGTGTTGACACCTGGAGACATCTTGGCCTGGACTGCTGCCAAGGACCATATCTGGGGCCATGGTCCTACCACAGCTGGAGTCTGTGTTGATGTCCTTGGCCCATGTTGCCACCAAACGCCACAGAAATGCCCAGGGTCTAGGCCACAAACTGTGACCATATTGGTGTCTGAGAGCTGTGCCACCACTGAGGCCAAGTCAATTTGAGTGGCCAGCACTATCATATAGGGCCATGGTATTATCCAGGGCAGGGTTGCTACCAAGGGCTGTGTCTGGGCCGTGGCCCTACTGCAGCCAGGGTCTACGATTTTGCTGAATATATTTTCTGGGCCTTTGAGCAGGGATGCTTCTCCTTCTTCTATTTCTATTATTCTTAGGTTTGGCCTTTTCATGGTGTCCCAGATTTCCTGGATGTTTTGTGATAGGAATTGTTTTAGATTTAATATTTTCTTTGACTGATGAATTTATTTCCTCTATCGTGTCTTCAATGCCTGAGATTCTCTCTTCCATCTCTTGTATTCTATTGGTGATGCTTGCTTCTGTAGTTCCTATTTGCTTACCCAGATTTTCCATTTCCAGAATTCCCTTAGTTTGTGGTTTTTTTAAAATTTTATTTTACAATACTATTCAGTTCTATATAATAGCCACAGATTCCCTTGTTCTCTCCCTTCCTGCTCCCCTCCCCTTCCCCCCAGCCCACCCCCCATTCTCACCTCCTCCAGATCAAGGTCTCCCCCAGGACTGGGATCGACCTGATAGACTCAGTCCAGGCAGGTCCAGTCCTCTCCTCCCAGATTGAGCCAAGCATCCCTGTATAAGTCCCAGGTTTCAAACAGCTAACTCATGCAATGAGCCCAGGACCTGGTACCACTGCCTAGATGCCTCCCAAACAGATCAAGCCAATCAACTGTCTCACCTATTCAGAGGGCCTGATCCAGTTGGGGGTCCCTCAGCCTTTGGTTCATAGTTCATGTGTTTCCATTCATTTGGTTATTTGTCCCTGTGCTTTATCCATCCTTGGTTTTAACAATTCTTGCTCATATAAACCCTCCTCTTTCTCACTAATTAGACTCCTAGCGCTCCACCCAGGGCCTAGCCTTGGATATCTGCATCCAGATTCCTCAGTCCTTGGATGGGGTTTATGGCACAACTATTAGGGTTGTGTTTGGCCTCAGAAAGACAAATATGGTATGTACTCACTCATAGGAGGATGCTAGATGTGGAACAAGGATGACTGGACTGCTACTCACATCACCAGTGAGGCTACCTGGAAAATGGGACCCCAAGAAAGACACAGAGAAATGGATGAGATCTACATGAACAGCCTGGACATGAGTGGGAGCAATGAAGGGCGAGGGTAGAGGGAAAGAGAGCGGGAGATCCTAGCTGGATCAAGAAAAGAGAGGGAGAACAAGGAATAGGAGACCATGGTAAATGAAGACCACATGAGAAAAGGAAGAAACAAAGAGCTAAAGAGGCCCACAGAAATCCACAAAGTTTGTGGTTTTTTTAATTGTTTCTATTTCTATTTTCAGGTCTTAAACAGCTTTATTTGTTTCCATCAGTTGCTTGTTTCTTCTTGGCGTTCTTTAAGAGATTTATTGATTTCCTCCATTTTTTTTTTGTGCTGTGGGATGTCCTGTATGCTGTGAATGTGTTGCTATGATAGATAAATAAAACGCTGATTGGCCAGTAGCCAGGCAGGAAGGATAGTGTAGGTGAGACAAGGAGAGAGGAGAAGGCTGGGTGGAAGGAGGCTGAGTCAGGAGACGCCAGCCAGACACAGAGAAAGTGAGATGTAAAATTACTGGTAAACTATAAGCCACATGACAACTTATAGATTAATAGAAATGGGTTAAGTTCAGATATAAGAACAGATAGCAAGAAGCCTGAGCCATTAGGCCAAACTGTTTAAATAATATAAGTGTCTGTGTATTTATTTGAGTCTGAGTAGCTGCCGGCCTGGGCAGGACTGGAGATAACTCCAGCAACATTTTTGCTTGTCTTTTCCTCCATTTCTTTAAGGGATTTTTCATTTCCTCTTTAAGGACCTCTATCATCTCCATAATGTTATTTTTAGGTCATTTTCTTGTGTTTCAGCTGTGTTGGAATGTTCAGGTCTTGCTGTAGTAGGATAGCTGGGTTCTGGTGGTGCCATATTGCCTTTCTGTTTTGATTGTGTTCTTACACTGGTGTTTGGGCATCTGGACTTGGGATGATTATAGTCTAGGTGTTGATTCCTGTGTTTGTCTTTTTGAGTAGGTGTTCTGTTCCTTGGTTTCTGTTTCCTCTCTGGTCTTCTGGCCTAAGAGGCCAAGGGTTCTGGTGACTTGTAAGTCTTCTGATCCAGTAGGGTGTCTCTGCTGGGATTTTAGGGGCCTTGGGTCACTTGTTCCTGTCTGGCCTCTGGTAAAGCCGAAGTCTTAAGTCTCTAGATCTGGCCTGGCCTCCAGTAAGGCCCAAGTCTTCTTCTGGGGTACCTAGGACCAGCCTGGTCTCCAGTAGAGCACCTGGGTCTGTTCTTTTGGATGGTGTGGACTGTATGTGAGCCTATGGAATCTGTTCTTAGCGTTCCATTCTGGCTTGTGTGGCCCCTCCCCCTTGTGGCTGGTGTGGTCTGTGCCTCAGTGGTGGAAGCCTGTGGTGATTGGGGTTGGGGACTCAGCAGCAGCAGGGTCAGCGGGCATGGTGTTGGCCTAGGGAAGGGTGGCTGCTGTGGGATGGTCTGTATGTCAGATCTGTTGCTCTGATTGGTCAATAAATAAAACACTGATTGGCCAGTGGCCAGGCAGAAAGTATAGGCGGGACTAACAGAGAGGAGAATTGAGAGAACAGGAAGGCTGAGTGAAGGAGACACTGCCAGCCGCCACCATGACAAGCACCATGTGAAGATGCCAGTAAGCCATGAGCCACATGGCAAGGTATAGATTTATGGAAATGGATTAATTTAAGCTATAAGAACAGTTAGCAAGAAGCCTGCCACGGCCATACAGTTTGTAAGCAATATAAGTCTCTTACTTGGTTGGGTCTGAGTGGCTGTGGGACTGGCAGATGAGAGAGATTTGTCCTGCCTGTGAGCAAGGCAGGAACACTCTAGCTACAGGTGGCAGTAGACAGAATCCAGGTAGGAGTACAGTTCTGCTGTTAGGTGGGTCACTCACCCATTCCACCTGGCTTGGCCTGGGCCTGCTTGGCAGAAGTCTTCTGGGTGTGGGAGGAGGGCCCAGCCATAGGGGTTGGGGATTAGCTGGGAGGGCATGGGCTTGAGGACTGGTGGAGGCT